GGTTGGTAGTGAATAAGGGAATATATCATAGACGGATCATATAGGGTTTAGGGTTGAGGGTTAGTAGGGAATGAGGGAATATGTCCCATAGGTATCATATTCCCTTATTCCCTACGAACCACCAGTTCAATTTGATTATGTTCAGGGGAACAGGCGACGCCGTCTTGCTTCACGCTGCATGGGGTATTCGGACTGTCTAACGTGGGATTTGCAGGGTCAGGGACTGCAATAAGTAGGTTAATAATGGGGATAATTGGGTTACCATATGGGTTATTAACCTACTTTCTAAGTCCCCCTGACGCTAAAGCCTAAACCCTAAATGATATAGTTGTCTCCATTTTCTTTTCTATTATTTCTGCGTCCCCCTGACCCTCCGAGTACGGTCTGATTCCTTGGAAGTGCAGATATTTCACGAGAACTGCTAGCCAGGATCTTCTGATCTGGCCTGCTTTCCTGGAAGTAAGACAAGGACTATATTAGGTCCTATTATATTCCTTACATACCGCTATTACAGGGTGGGGGGTCCTGCTAAACTATTTCACGAGAGCTGCCGTACTTGCCTGAGACGCATAAACATGATGCCTGGCCAGGTGCAGGATGCCTTTCCTTCCTACCCCCCGATTTCGTGGGTAGAGTTGAGCTGTAGTCTACACTCCTAAAAGGGAGGTTATATATAGGGGATTATTAGGGGAGTATTACAGGGAGACACTAGGAGTTTAGACAAGGGCTCAGTTGGATTTGTGTGGGGATCAGAACTCCAACGCTTAAACCGTTCGTAGGGGTATCCTGCCTTTCAGGTGCGCAGGAAAAGGGAGGCGCAATTCAACAACGGGATCGTGGATATGGTTGCCGAGCAGAGACCCGTCGGAAGCAGATGGAGCAGCAAGATGGATACTAAAAGATCCTGCATGACCCTATATGAGCTATGGTCCCTTAAAATGGGGTTATGTAGGGAATCATATCAGGAAGCATTTCAGGGCTTATTAAGGGGATACTAGGAGGTTAGACTATAGTTAATAAAGGTGCCTTACACCTTGGGAACTTTGGTGTTATGTGTACCTACACTCCCCCAAGCTAACATGGAAACACATATAACCCTTTTTAAAGGGACTGTAGTCTTTATAGGGCCCTTTTTGGGTTTCCATGTTAGTTTCCGGGAAGGTAGGTCATGCAAGAATTTTAGTATCAAGTATATTTTTGACTAGGACTTGCTTAATGATCTGTGGCATGTCTTCAGCTATTGGGGAGTTGGGGAGTACCTAATACTTAATACTGGAGACCCACAACACATTCTACCAAAGACCTTTGGTTTTACTGATATTGTGATGGTTGTCTACATTTCTACTAGCGCTGGCTCCTGGGGGCTACACCTTTAGCTACTTCTGCTTCCTTGAGTTGTCATCTAGCGCGCCACCACCTCCCCCCCGACAGACATCCAAACCCCTGGTGAAAGCCCTCCAAGCGCGTCTCCAACAAACATATGGGGCTATCCCTAAACCCTACTTCAACTCTTGAACCTAAACCTTGAACCCTAAACCCTAAACCCCATACATGGAACAATCCCCAGGACTGAACCCATGCTCTTCCTGTACTTCCCATATATCCCTGAAAATATGAAGGACCCCTAACTCGAGAAATCCTAAACCCTATACTGTGGGGGCATGTCACCTACACCCTAAACCCTAGGGTTTAGGGTTAGGGTAACCCTAAACCCTAGACCCTAAGCCCGAAACCCTAAACCCTACACTATGGCTGTTGGCCCAGGATTCGCATTCTTGAGGAGGCGGGCCGAGGAGTCAAGAAGACCAAATGGGAGCTTATCGAGATCATGCCCCTGATAAGTATGGTCCTCATGATAGGGACTGTACTGTCTAGGTAACATCAGGGGGACAGTTCTGAGAAATGCCCAGACAGATCTCGCAGCATCCTGCATGCTGTAACCTTGCACCATGCAAGACTCTCTTGGCATCAGCGTCCCCTGGGTTTCCGTGCGCATTTACGGAATTCCTCTTGGGGAAGATAGGACTCATGCTGGGCTATAATGGGGTTGTATGGGGAACTCAGTTTAGAGGTACAACCTCACTGGCATTACCTGGGAACTCTTGACACATTACTACAAGCTGAACCACGGGTCCATCACAATCCCTCGACTGCGAGATGACATCCTCCGCTCCCAAATCTACAATCCCAAGACTAGAACTGCCCAAGCCCAACAAAGCTCCTCTTTCTCAAGGTCTTTGAAGAGGTTGTTGAGTTTCACGTCACTATTCCGTTTGCTATTCAATTTGCATTGTGGCTCTTATGGCAGTTAGTCTTGGTCAGTATCTATCATTCTGGTATTTGTTATTGTTAGCTTTCCTGCGAAGGTACGCAATCAGTGGCTAATGTCAAGTCCTAATGCTTCCCAGTGCCAACGCGAGGTCCACGTGCCCTCGCAGCAAGATGTGGGCACCGCACGGAAGGTGGGCGCCAAGAAGAGCGAGGCCCCTCGAAGCAAACTGAGCAGCTGAGCAAGATTTGTTCGAGGCTGCTGTAAGGAACTGAAATCAAACCATATTACTTAGTATGTATCCGTATTGTGGTGACTTAGCGTTTCGAGCATCCGCTTTGACCAAACAATGGTGTGGCAGTTGCACTATGTTGCTACGCCATACGTTCTAACAAAGTATGACGAGTGCGTAACATTCTGACCCATCCAAAAGTCAGCCTTTGTTCGCAGACGGGCTCTCAAAGCAATAGTCTGTCAACCTAAAGGCTCCATGGAGGGCATGGTGCACATTTAGACCTAGACCCCCAAAACCCCAAACCCAAAACCCTACAAGCCTAAAATGCCAAACCTTAAAATCCTAATCCCTAGAACCCTAAACCCTAGAACCCTAAACCTTAGAACTTTAAACCCTAAAAACCCAACCCTAAAACCTAAAATCCCAAACCCTAGAACCCTAGAACCCCTAAACCCAGGTGCCTCCAGCTCCTGACGAGCCAACCTTGGCACTGGCCATCCCCAACGCTGTACACCTGGCGCCTAGGGTCTAGATTAGGAGGACCCCCCACCCTGTAATACTGGGTTGCTGTTAAGGAACTTAAATTAAGTTACCATAATGGGCATATATAGTAAATACTAGGGTTTCCCCAATATAGTAACTTAATTTAAGTTCCTTAACAGCAACCCAGAATAGTGGTATAATAAGAATGTAAGAGGACCCTAATACAATCCCTTTTATCCCTTATAGTCACTATTACTGGGTGGGGGGTCCACCTAAGGTCTAGGTTTTGGGTCTTAGGGTTTTGCCACTGGGGTGGCTAGCATGGCTACAGGGTTTAGGGTTTAGGGTTTAGGGTCTAGGCTTTAGGTTTTAGTGTTGGGCTCTAGGCTTTAGGGTTTGGGATTTAGGGTTTAGGTGGCACCTGGCGCCCGTGCAAACCTGGAAAGTTTCCCCCAAATCAGCCTGAGGGGAACCATTGGGAATACACTTCCTTCAAAGGAGATTCTCGCCAAAAAGGGAACCTGCCTTAATGCCATTTGGGGACAGGTATTTTGAACAACTACCGAATAAGGGCACTCTGCTTGGAGGGTCAAGGGGGCTTGGTAAGCAGGTTTGGACTGTGGATAACTGGAGTCACTACGTTTTTCCGGGTTATAAGTCGACTTACGAAGGCCCCCCGACCCCCTAAGTAGGGACCGAAGGATGTATAGTGAGTACAGGAAGATCGCGGAGGTCTGCCGTTAAGGGCTATGTAGGGATTATTTTGAGAGATCCATTTACAGTTCTCTTCAACTTGGTTATGCAGTGGATGCAGAGGGGCGGATGTGATTTGCATTGATCAAAGGTCATTGTCAAAAGTACGACCTTGACGACGGGCGTTAGAAATGGTAGGGTCGGTATTCCACAGCATGAGTTTCCCAAAGCAGCCGCTACATGCTCTGTTTGGAGTATTCTACAATCACGCATTTTACATTCCTATCCATGTGTGGAGAGCATCACCTTAGATTTTCTGGAAATGAGAGGTCTTGCTTTAACGATTTCGTATGCAACGCCGACCCCTTGCGCCCTTCAGTCCTCTTTTTAAAAAATGACCCCCCAACCCAGAATAATCAACACCCTAGGGGTTGTAGGAACCAGGGTGGAATACACGTGCTGTAGGCATGCAATGACCAAGGAGAGCGCGTAGAGTCGCACATTGGTTCCGGTTCAGATATCGACTGTACTTATTCGGTCTTCTTACTGGTGTCCTTATCCTATATAACCCCAACATTACCCTTAAATGGCCCCACTATATAACCATAACCCATTACATATAGTAGTTTCCAATTTATTTTCCATTATCCCCATAAAATCCCAGTATAATGTAGTAGTTTCCGTTTTCTTTTCCATTATTCCAATATAAGCCCAATATACTATAGTAGTTTCCACTTTATTTTCCATTATCCCAATATTACCCCAATATCACCCCTATATATACCCCATAAT